ACTGTTTCTACTCAGGCTTTAATCAGGATATATGCAGGAATCCTGAAGTCAAATGTAAAACCTTTTAAGACCTTTTTTAAGACCCTTTCCATACATTTGAAGACCTCATCACCACTTTGAGTTGTAACCGGTTACATTGGCGACACACTTTACCTCACATTGACTATATATAGTATGGATTGTCCTTCCTCCTTATCTTCCAACCATTTGGACGCAAACCTGCATTTCCCCATAACGTTGTTGCTTAGCAACCGGCGTAAACGGACCTTCGCGCGCTATCAAGCAGTGAGCGTGCGATGTCCTGTTCAGATGACTTCAAATCCAACGGGATGCCATAAATAAACTACACAGAATCACACTACACACCTACGCAATGATTACATTCAGGCACACTGTAGAATACAACCTCTTTGGACAATTTATATACTTATTGAAAACAAGCTACAAAATGTAATACCTTGGAAAATGCCCTTTAATACTTTTTAATAGCCTTCATTTTCGCTAAATTGATTTATCAACTTTTAATACTTTTAAGACCCCGCGGAAACCCTGTTAATACAGCTACACCATTGTTTGGTTTCCATGGCAGCGCGTCTCTTTAGTAGCACGCGCAACTAAAAGTCTGAGAGGGTGAGGAAGATAGTCACAGAAAACAGAACAAGAATCGACAACGCTACCCTCTGCTCACTCCTTTCCTGCGCACACATATGCTCCATCAAGGATGGTGCTACAGGCCGCAAGGCAATGCACTTACAACTACATGTTAATGTTCATGTTGTGATTGGTCAACCGCTTAGAGATGTCCTGCCCCTTAGCCTATCACGTCGTACAGGGATGAGATTTTAGCCTTTGCAGAACATTTACATGCACAAAAACACACTGCAGGAGAAAAAGGAAAAAGTTCAAGGAAAAAAAACTAATTTCTAAACTGCATTGTGGCACCAAGGCTACTGAAACAAATGATTAATGTTTGGTGACATTAAAACACTTTTCACAGGCAGTAGCAGAGAAGCCATTATGGGACTCACCTTTGAGATCTCTCCATCGTGGCCTTCCAGGGTCACGAGACACTGATGTGTGTTTACACTGAACACTCGGGCAGTACCTGAAAGACTGGCACGGGTAAGGTTGTCGTCTAAACAACACAAAACTCCTGGAGGGATTTATAATAAATTGAACCGTCCGTTATATAAATAAAAATAATAATGTGAGTCTCACCATCAGCAGAGGCAGTAGCAACGAGCTGACCGCTTAAATCAAAACACACATCCAGCACCTCCTCTTTGTGTCCAG